CTCTTTAAACTCCGGATTATGGGCTAAGAAAAAAGCTTGTAAAAATACGAGAAAAAAATTCCTTTCCATTGGGAAAATGTTAGAATATATATATATATATATATATATATATATATATATATATATATATATATATATATATATATATATATATATATATATATATATATATATAAGCAGCTGTACTATAGGAATAATAGCAGCTTTTCCTTGAGCCCCATCGGGAAATAGCATTGATGAACTCATCTTTTATTTACCGTTTTTTTTCGGGCTAGGTGCGTAGGGACGGGCTCAATTTACTAAATAAGACAGTTTGGACCCATAAGTGCCACGGTGAAAATATGCTTCAGTAGATTAGTTTTTGTAACAAGTATTTTCCTGATGGCTAGAGAAAATAACAATAACTATATAGATCCACAGAAATATATCAATATAACAATACGCATGTGAGTTTTCAGTCATTTAATATCTAAAACCACAATGTTCAGATGTTTGAGCAAGATATGAAATAAGTGTTTTAGTCCACTAGTTGTTTAAATTTTAAGTAACTTATTGTATAAATATTTTATCTGTAGTTCCTCTGCTAGCCAACTGACACAATCACCCACCTGTAGTTCCCTGGGTACTGACACAATCACCTACCTGACACAATCACCCACCTGTAGTTCCCTGCGTACTGACACAATCACCCACCTGTAGTTACCTGGGTACTGACACAATCACCCACCTGACCCAATCACCCACCTGACACAATCACCCACCTGTAGTTCCCTGGGTACTGACACAATCACCCACCTGACCCAATCACCCAACTGTAGTTCCCTGGGTACTGACACAATCACCCACCTGACCCAATCACCCATCTGACACAATCACCCACCTGTAGTTCCCTGGGTACTGACACAATCACCCACCTGACACAATCACCCACCTGACACAATCACCCACCTGTAGTTCCCTGGGTACTGACACAATCACCCACCTGATCCAATCACCCACCTGACACAATCACCCACCTGTAGTTCCCTGGGTACTGACACAATCACCCACCTGACACAATCACCCACCTGACACAATCACCCACCTGTAGTTCCCTGGGTACTGACACAATCACCCACCTGACCCAATCACCCACCTGACACAATCACCCACCTGTAGTTCCCTGGGTACTGACACAATCACCCATCTGACCCAATCACCCAACTGTAGTTCCCTGGGTACTGACACAATCACCCACCTGACCCAATCACCCATCTGACACAATCACCCACCTGTAGTTCCCTGGGTACTGACACAATCACCCACCTGACACAATCACCCACCTGACACAATCACCCACCTGTAGTTCCCTGGGTACTGACACAATCACCCACCTGACCCAATCACCCACCTGTAGTTCCCTGGGTACTGACACAATCACCCACTGGGTACTGACACAATCACCCACCTGACCCAATCACCCACCTGTAGTTCCCTGGGTACTGACACAATCACCTACCTGACACAATCACCCACCTGTAGTTACCTGGGTACTGACACAATCACCCACCTGACCCAATCACCCACCTGACCCAATCACCCACCTGTAGTTCCCTGGGTACTGACACAATCACCTACCTGACACAATCACCCACCTGTAGTTACCTGCATACTGACACAATCACCCACCTGACACAATCACCTACCTGACACAATCACCCACCTGTAGTTACCTGGGTACTGACACAATCACCCACCTGACCCAATCACCCACCTGTAGCTCTCTGGGTACAATCACCCACCTGTAGTTCCCTGGGTACTGACCCAATTACCCACCTGACACAATCACCCATCTGACACAATTACCCACCTGTAGTTCCCTGGGTACTGACACAATCACCCACCTGACCCAATCACCCACCTGTAGTTCCCTGGGTACTGACACAATCACCCACCTGTAGTTCCCTGGGTACTGACACAATCACCCACCTGACACAATCACCCACCTGACACAATCACCCACCTGTAGTTCCCTGGGTACTGACACAATCACCCACCTGTAGTTCCCTGGGTACTGACACAATCACCCACCTGACCCAATCACCCACCTGTAGCTCTCTGGGTACAATCACCCACCTGTAGTTCCCTGGGTACTGACCCAATTACCCACCTGACACAATCACCCATCTGACACAATCACCCACCTGTAGTTACCTGGGTACTGACACAATCACCCACCTGACCCAATCACCCACCTGTAGCTCTCTGGGTACAATCACCCACCTGTAGTTCCCTGGGTACTGACCCAATTACCCACCTGACACAATCACCCATCTGACACAATTACCCACCTGTAGTTCCCTGGGTACTGACACAATCACCCACCTGACCCAATCACCCACCTGTAGTTCCCTGGGTACTGACACAATCACCCACCTGTAGTTCCCTGGGTACTGACACAATCACCCACCTGACACAATCACCCACCTGACACAATCACCCACCTGTAGTTCCCTGGGTACTGACACAATCACCCACCTGACCCATTCACCCACCTGTAGTTCCCTGGGTACTGACACAATCACCCACTGGGTACTGACACAATCACCCACCTGACCCAATCACCCACCTGTAGTTCCCTGGGTACTGACACAATCACCTACCTGACACAATCACCCACCTGTAGTTACCTGGGTACTGACACAATCACCCACCTGACCCAATCACCCACCTGTAGTTCCCTGGGTACTGACACAATCACCCACTGGGTACTGACACAATCAGCCACCTGACACAATCACCCACCTGTAGTTCCCTGGGTACTGACACAATCACCCACCTGTAGTTCCCTGGGTACTGACACAATCACCCACCTGATCCAATCACCCACCTGACACAATCACCCACCTGTAGTTCCCTGGGTACTGACACAATCACCCACCTGACACAATCACCCACCTGACACAATCACCCACCTGTAGTTCCCTGGGTACTGACACAATCACCCACCTGACCCAATCACCCACCTGTAGTTACCTGGGTACTGACACAATCACCCACTGGGTACTGACACAATCACCCACCTGACCCAATCACCCACCTGTAGTTCCCTGGGTACTGACACAATCACCTACCTGACACAATCACCCACCTGTAGTTACCTGGGTACTGACACAATCACCCACCTGACCCAATCACCCACCTGTAGTTCCCTGGGTACTGACACAATCACCTACCTGACACAATCACCCACCTGTAGTTACCTGGGTACTGACACAATCACCCACCTGACACAATCACCTACCTGACACAATCACCCACCTGTAGTTACCTGGGTACTGACACAATCACCCACCTGACCCAATCACCCACCTGTAGCTCTCTGGGTACTGACACAATCACCCACCTGTAGTTCCCTGGGTACTGACACAATCACCCACCTGACACAATCACCCACCTGACACAATCACCCACCTGTAGTTCCCTGGGTACTGACACAATCACCCACCTGTAGTTCCCTGGGTACTGACACAATCACCCACCTGACCCAATCACCCACCAGACACAATCACCCACCTGACACAATCACCCACCTGACACAATCACCCACCTGACACAATCACCCACCTGTAGTTCCCTGGGTACTGACACAATCACCCACCTGACCCAATCACCCACCTGTAGTTCCCTGGGTACTGACACAATCACCCACTGGGTACTGACCCAATCACCCACCTATAGTTCCCTGGGTACTGACACAATCACCCACCTGTAGTTCCCTGCGTACTGACACAATCACCCACCTGTAGTTACCTGGGTACTGACACAATCACCCATCTGACCCAATCACCCACCTGACACAATCACCCACCTGACACAATCACCCACCTGACACAATCACCCACCTGACACAATCACCCACCTGACACAATCACCCACCTGACACAATCACCCACCTGACACAATCACCCACCTGACACAATCACCCACCTGTAGTTCCCTGGGTACTGACCCAATTACCTACCTGTAGCTCCCTGGGTACAATCACCCACCTGACCCAATCACCCAACTGTAGTTCCCTGGGTACTGACACAATCACCCACCTGACACAATCACCCACCTGACACAATCACCCACCTGACCGAATCACCCACCTGACCCAATCACCCATCTGACACAATTACCCACCTGTAGTTCCCTGGGTACTGACACAATCACCCACCTGACCCAATCACCCACCTGACCCAATCACCCACCTGATCCAATCACCCACCTGACACAATCACCCACCTGTAGTTACCTGGGTACTGACACAATCACCCACCTGACCCAATCACCCACCTGACCCAATCACCCAACTGTAGTTCCCTGGGTACTGACACAATCACCCACCTGACCCAATCACCCACCTGACCCAATCACCCACCTGACACAATCACCCACCTGACCCAATCACCCATCTGACACAATTACCCACCTGTAGTTCCCTGGGTACTGACACAATCACCCACCTGTAGTTCCCTGCGTACTGACACAATCACCCACCTGTAGTTCCCTGGGTACTGACACAATCACCCACCTGACACAATCACCCACCTGACACAATCACCCACCTGACCCAATCACCCACCTGACACAATCACCCACCTGACACAATCACCCACCTGACCCAATCACCCACCTGACACAATCACCCACCTGACACAATCACCCACCTGACCCAATCACCCACCTGACACAATCACCCACCTGTAGTTCCCTGGGTACTGACTCAATCACCCACCTGACACAATCACCCACCTGACACAATCGCCCACCTGACACAATCACCCACCTGACCCAATCACCCACCAGACACAATCACCCACCTGACCCAATCACCCACCTGACACAATCACCCACCTGACACAATCACCCACCTGACCCAAGCACCCACCTGACCCAATCACCCACCAGACACAATCACCCACCTGACACAATCACCCACCTGACACAATCACCCACCTGACCCAATCACCCACCTGTAGTTCCCTGGGTAGCCGCCTGACACAATGAAGCCGTGGTCACCTTTCTCTGCCTTCAGAACGTCGCTACCTTTCTCTCTGGAACAGTGGACAGTACCTGCAGGTTGGAAATGCCAAACATCCGATGTATAAAAAGTCACGAGGGATTCTGTGCATTGTTTTGTTATACATTACTTCTTAGCTCCCCCATTGAAAGTACACTTCTACCTGATGTCATGTATGACTTACAGCTTGTTTGGAAACACTTGGATATAAAGGAATGAGGCGACAAATTCGAGTGAATGTAAATCAATGACTCACCTTTATCAATGCCCGTTTCAAGTGTGTGTGAAGGAATGAGCAACAACATCGCCAAAGCAAGAGACCTCATCAGCCCTGTGGGAGGTTAATTAGTTCAAACATATTTTATTGGAGTTGAGAAAAATGCTACACAAATTTACAGTAAGACGCTGGAAATATATTAAAATATTACAGAGATAATCAGAACTGACATTTATCTTTAAATACGGTAGACACAATTTGTCAATTTTTAGCAAAAATACGGTAGACACAATTTGTCAGTTTTTTAAAACAAAATATACGGTAGACACAATTTGTCAGTTTTATAAAAAAATACAGTAGACCCAATTTATTGTAAGATTTTAACAGAGAAGAACTATGATAAGCAATCGTTGATGAGACCACGAACAACTTATTACCCACATTTGGGTGGGGGGGGGGCGTCAAATACTGCATGTGTGGTCACCTAAATTCACTCAAATAGTTCCAGAGGTCAAATGTATTGGTGCCTAGTCGCCTCGGTTATTACAGTGGTCAACCATAGAGATGGTGACGTCATTAAAATAAATGGAGTGGTCAACCATAGAGATGGTGACGTCACTTACATCAGGGGAGTGGCCCATCAAATGATCAACATCCGGGTGGTCTAGTATATTATATTTCAATGTAATGCATATGGAGATTCCTGCAGTAGCCGAATCAGACGCGAGTATCACATCATCCTGACGGCAGGGGGCGCCCCGGGGTGCCACGTATTACCTGACGGCAGGGGGCGCCCCAGGGTCCCACGTATTATCTCCAACCAACGTTTTACAATTTACCCGTGATAAACGCCTGCATCTATCGCCTCTCGATTTACACGAGAGAAGAAACACAATCTAATTATTTATTAAGCCTTATCAGACCTAGGCTGATCTGGTTCTCCGACATTAAGACGAATTTATAATTATACGACGATTTAATGCCTCGATTGATGCTATTTTTATCTGCAGCCCGGGATCCGGGGAGTTACTGCCCCTTAAACCTGATTTATATTTTTTTTCAAAATTTTATAACATCGTCGCTAAAATGCCGGGTCGAATCAAGTAAACAATTTGAAACAAACTGGAGGAAGATAAACTTTGAAAGATTGTAAAGATAAGACAAAGATAATAAACGTCAAGCAGGATACAGTGTTGTGGGGTCAAAGGTCAGAACCTGAGCCTGTATTGCAGCTGTGATGAGATGAATGACGTCACGTGATAATGTGATTCGGCTCACAGAAACTGTGAATTGGCTGGTTGATGAATGATGGGTGAGAATAGGGAATTCAACTTTGTTTACTTTTCTTTTATTTACTTTTTGTTTTTGTCATTATTGTGAAGTGGGGTTGAGAAGAGTTTCTTAAACTGACGGGGTGTTAATAGGTGGGGGTGGATGTTGTAATGACTTTAAATGAGAGGTTACTGTGGATGGGTCTGGGTGTGTTGATGATGTGTGGGTGGGTGGAGGTGGGTCGCTGTTGTGTTTAGGTCTAAATGTGTTTGTAGGGGGGAGGTGGGTCGCTGTTGTGTGTAGGGGGGAGGTGGGTTGTTGTTGTGTATAGGGGGGGGGGTTGGTTTGCTATGGCGTGTATGGGTGTGTAGGGGTGTGTAGGGATGGAGGTGGTTCGCTGTTGTGTGCAGGGGGGAGGTGGGCTGCTGTTGTATGTAGTTCTAAATGAGTTTGTAGCGGTGTAGAGGTTGACTAGAGTTTGACTAGAATTTCTATTAATACATGCTTTGAAGTCAAGAAGGGTCGAACCTAAGCCTGAACAGTTCTAACGCCCCAACCACTGTAATAACACATCTTGATCTCTACATTTACACCGTTTTTATGTCCTCCCTGTGATGGTTATATCCCAGTGTTTCTATCCTGTTTCATTGTTTCGTTTTATTGACCATGATTTTTATATTTGCTGCCTGTGATCCACGTCACAGGGACGGAATGTTTTAGATGGTTCTAGAAATGATAGCCCCAGGCACCCGCCGTTTTACGCGTGATTAGTGAAAAGTTGCAGCCATTTTGATTGTTTTTTACATTTGATACTGTGGGGTAAACGGAATCGTTGTGTGAGTAACACAGTTTTTGGTGAGTGTTTTGATCCACATTTTGTGTTCGCTACAGGCTGGCGAGTAGTAGCCAACATACAAAGACACGCCCACAGCGCTACAACCTGTAGCAGCCATCATACAGAGACACGCCCACGGCGTGTTTAGTCGTTAGCTATATGAGCACTCCAGTTAAGCCTGGCAGTCAGCTGATACCCGTGTCACATCGATGTGTCAAACGTGAGTGACCTTTTGTACACAATAAAACGGTAAATTATGTCGGACATCGATGGTTCTTCATTCAATTACCACTCACACTATTAAGTTGTTTAGCCTAACACCACTCACACTATTAAGTTCTTGAACCTAACACCACTCACACTATTAAGTTGTTTAACCTAACACCACTCACACTATTAAGTTCCTCAACCTAACACCACTCACACTATTAAGTTCTTGAACCTAACACCACTCACACTATTAAGTTGTTTAACCTAACACCACTCACACTATTAAGTTCCTCAACCTAACACCACTCACACTATTAAGTTGTTTAACCTAACACCACTCACACTATTAAGTTCTTGAACCTAACACCACTCACACTATTAAGTTGTTTAACCTAACACCACTCACACTATTAAGTTCCTCAACCTAACACCACTCACACTATTAAGTTGTTTAACCTAACACCACTCACACTATTAAGTTGTTTAACCTAACACCACTAACACTATTAAGTTCTTCAACCTAACACTATTCACACAATTAAGTTCTTTAACCTAACACCACTTATACTTTACAGTTTTTGGATCAGGCATCTGATGATATCACAGCACGGAGCGTGCTATACTTTTATCATCAACCACAGATGCTGTATATTTAAGACCATGTTCGGTTTTACGACAACCTTTATGTTGTTATAGTTTTAACATAACTTTTACGGTGATGATTTTAAGCCAGCCCGCGTTGTATTACAGCTTTAAAACAACCCAGTTGATGGGAAAGATTTAAGAGAATTTTATCCACTATAAAAAGCTTACAAAAAGCATCCTGTTAATGTGCTTAATTAAACCTCTAACGATATTGCAATGAACGGCATTGACTGATGCACGTACATTTTAATCATTCGCGTCTATAGGTATTAGCTTCAATTGTAAAATCTCGACTCCTAATCTAAAAACTTTATTTGAAAACTGTAGAGGAGGTGGAAGCAGGCGTTGTAACTGAAATAGCAATATAAACAGAAAGTGATATTTCAACGCCAAGGGTAGACAAAGGTACAGAATATAGTCCAAGTATCACTTTCTGTTTATATTGCTATTTGAAAACTGTGCACCCACCTTTAGAAATGTTCTAAGAAATGTTTACCTGTCTTCAAAATGTGATTAAAATGTGCACCCAACTTTGTGATTAAAAATGTGCACCCACCTTTAAAATGTGACAAAAAATGTGCACCCATCTTTAAAATGTGATTTAAAATGTGCACCCACCTTTAAAATGTGATTAAAAATGTGCACCCACCGTTAAAATGTGATTTAAAATGTGCACCCACCTTTAAAATGTGATTAAAAATGTGCACCCACCTTTAAAATGTGATTAAAAATGTGCACCCACCGTTAAAATGTGATTAAAAATGTGCACCCACCGTTAAAATGTGATTTAAAATGTGCACCCACCTTTAAAATGTGATTAAAAATGTGCACCCACCTTTAAAATGTGATTAAAAATGTGCACCCACCGTTAAAATGTGATTAAAAATGTGCACCCACCTTTAAAATGTGATTAAAAATGTGCACCAACCTTTAAAATGTGATTAAAAATGTGCACCCAACTTTATGATTAAAAATGTGCACCCACCTTTAAAATGTGATTACAAATGTGCACCCATCTTTAAAATGTGATAAATTGTGCACCCACCTTTGTGATTAAAAATGTGCACCCACCTTTAAAATGTGATTACAAATGTGCACCCACCTCTAAAATGTGATTAAAAATGTGCACCCACCTGTAAAATGTGATTAAAAATGTGCACCCACCTGTAAAATGTGATTAAAAATGTGCACCCACCTTTGTGATTAAAAATGTGCACCCACCTTTGTGATTAAAAATGTGCACCCACCTTTAAAATGTGATTAAAAATGTGCACCCACCTTTAAAATGTGATTAAAAATGTGCACACACCTTTAAAATGTGATAAAATGTGCACCCACCTTTGTGATTAAAAATGTGCACCCACCTTTGTGATTAAAAATGTGCACCCACCTTTGTGATTTAAAATGTGCACCCACCTTTGTGATTAAAAATGTGCACCCACCTTTAAAATGTGATAAAAAATGTGCACCCACCTTTAAAATGTGATAAATGTGCACCCACCTTTCATTCCTTCATTTCTATCGTGCTACGCCCTGCCCGTCAAATAGCTTGCAGCGATCACGTGACGTTAACTGGCATGGAGCTTTCTAGCTTCACATTTCTGGCACTCAAATCTTGTCCAGTCCACGTTTTAGCTCATTCTCTGACCAGTGGTCCAACTGACCAAATTATCCAGCGTGTTATCCAGTCCACAGATGGTCGCTAAAATGTAAATATTACATTAGTAATAACAAAAAAAAAAGTTTAATACGTTTGACTGTTAAATTCAGTTAATTAGGGCACTATCGTGCGGCCGTAATTTGAGACTAGTTGTAAGTGAGCAGGTGTCCTCATTATAGGTTGGAGCTCACGTGAGTGTGTGAGTTGTGTACACGATCACGTGAGTGAGTTGTGTACACCAGCACGTGCTTATTTGAGTTGTGTACAGAATCACGCACGTGACTATGAACAGAAGATGGTAGACTCAAGGTCAGCCGTGTGAGGGTTACGTTTAAAACAATTGAATACAAGCCGCAATTTTGTGTGATGGTTGTTGTGTGATGGTAGTTGTGTGATGGTTGTTCTTTGATGTTAGCTGTGTGATGGTAAAATTAAAAAAAAAATACAAAAAAAAAACAACAACAACTTATTCCAGTTTAATATACTTCATCGGGTTAAGTTGCCATTGCGATATAACTCGAATGAAGATACATGTAATACTTTTGGAAGACATTATTTATACACAATATTATCTAGTGTACCTAATATGCTAAAACGTTAAAAAGCTCAAATAAATGGAATATTTCTAATCACTGCAGCTATTCCAAAACAAGTACACAATAAATGAGAAAAAAAGGACATAAACATAAAAATGTACATGTGTTGCTTATCATCAAGTTTTTAATAGAGTGTCAAGCCGAACTCTCCAGTCATCCACGGCAACGTTTTTACTCGGCAGCTAAGTCGGTCGTTCACATACCTCGTACATTCAGATAGAATTCAAGGGAAGCTACTCTAATATAAACGTTTCCCTATCGCTCCCAGGGGAAACAACCTACGGAACAAGTCATCAGATGTACTTTCTACCCAGCAAATCAAAGCCCGCTATCAAGTCCTGGGTCGGATAAATGAAATGAAGATTAGGGCGGAAGAAAGGGGCTATCAAGAAAAGGGCTATCACACGCCCGGTGTCAAGGGTCTCTTGAAGATACGGACAGTCGGTCTAGACAAAAGATCGCCGCCCTTGCCTCAGGCGTCTCCTTGTTGTGGAATTTGATCTAGAATTCAGACAGCTGTACGCTGTTATCAATTCGCACAAAAATATTTCAATAACATCAACACCAGCTTAGAACTTGGATCATATTTACGTTTTCTTATTGCGTACACTTTCATATTTCCATGTAAACAAAACAGTATAAATAGCAGTTAACATATAGCCCGGCTAGCTCAGTCGGTAGAGCATGAGACTCTTAATCTCAGGGTCGTGGGTTCGAGCCCCACGTTGGGCGTTTTTTTTTTGTTTTTTAAAATTCTAGAAATCAATTTATGTCAGCAATTTATTAATCAACTAGGGAGTTAAAGACATTTTAAATAATGCAAAAGTAATTGTCATCATATAGAAAGTATTTTGTGCTCTGAAGAAATGTCACTATTTTTGTTGATCTATAATATTGATTTCTTCCCTATAAGCCAAATATAAGATATTATAATTTAAAGCGTGTGTCTAGAGAAGCAATATATTAGGTTAAAAATCGAAAATTTACTTAAAAAAAATTAATTGAAAACGCAGAGAAATACCAAACGCAATCGCCCAATCACAAATCACCCTAATCTAGCATCCGAGTTTCCTGGGTGGCAAAATCGGCTAATCTCTGCCTACAGCCCAACAGTTTGAATATTTCTGCTGCATCGTGGCCAGATTTACGCCACAAAAAAAAAAAAAAAAAAAAAAAAGAGGAAAGTTTATGATTTTAAAAATAAATAAATAATTCAGGTTTAGATTTTTTCCTACTGGGTTTTATCAAGGCGGTAGTTAAACTGCCCAATTGTATTTATATCCCTCAGTTTATTTCCCCTGTAAAGTTTTGTCATTAAAAAAAAAAAACGTTTTTAAAGCTGGAGAATTTTTTTTATTTTATTTGATGAGACTTGAAGAGATCTAAACATATTCGTGTTGTGATTGCATGTTTCTTAGAGAAAGATGAACTTTCTTAATTCTCTGTCTTAATTAATGAACCTTTGTTTATATATTTGTGTGTATCTAAGTTAAGGTACGTTTATATCTAAGTTAAGGAACTTAACAGAAAAATATTTTAAAGCGTCAGGGACTTTTACAAAGTTGAAAAATAACAACTATACTGATTATATAATCATTAATCTTTCTTTTACTAACATACCAACAGTCACTGGCCGTGTTTTTGTAACAGTCAACACTACAGAAATTTTTTTCTTCAAATTTTTCAAATTTTGTATGTTAAAATACCATTCAAATTAGCGTTAATTTTATGACACAGGCTAATATCACACAGGCAACAATCACACAAGCGACAATCACACAGGCAACAATCACACAGTCTAATATCACACAGGCAACAATCACACAGTCTAATATCACACAGGCAACAATCACACAGGCTAATATCACACAAGCAAAAATCACACAAGCTAATATCACACAAGCAACAATCACACAAGCAACAATCACACAAGCTAATATCACACAAGCAACAATCACACTGTCACCAACCTCCCCACACATGACAACAATCTCACACACATGTTAACAACCTCCCCACACATGACGACAACCTCCCCACACATGACAACAACCTCCCCACGCATGTTAACAACCTCCCCACACATGACAACAATCTCCCCACACATGTTAACAACCTCCCCACACATGACGACAACCTCCCCACACATGACAACAACCTCCCCACACATGACACCAACCTCCCCACACATGACAACAACCTCCCCACACCTGACAACAACCTCCCCACACATGACAACAACCTCCCTCTGATGATAACAACCTCCCCACACATGACAACAACCTCCGCACACATGACAACAACCTCCCCACACATGACACCAACCTCCCCACACATGACAACAATCTCCCCACACATGATAACAATCTCCCCACACATGACAACAACCTCCCCACACATGACAACAACCTCCCCACACATGTTAACAACCTCCTCACACATGACAACAACCTCCCCACATCTGACAACAGCCTCCCACACATGACAACAACCTCCCCACACATGACAACAACCTCCCCACATCTGACAACAGCCTCCCACACATGTTAACAATCTCCCAACACATGACAACAACCTACCAACACATGATAACAACCTCCCCACACATGACAACAACCTCCCCACACATGTTAACAACCTCCCCACACATGACAACAACCTCCCCACATCTGACAACAGCCTCCCACACATGTTAACAACCTCCCCACACATGACAACAACCTCCGCACAAATGACAACAACCTCCCCACACATGTTAACAACCTCCCCACACATGATAACAATCTCCCCACACATGACAACAACCTCCCCACACATGACAACAACCTCCCCACACATGACAACAACCTCCCCACACATGTTAACAACCTCCCCACACATGATAACAATCTCCCCACACATGACAACAACCTCCCCACACATGACAACAACCTCCCCACACATGACAACAACCTCCCCACACATGATAACAATCTCCCCACACATGACAACAACCTCCCCACATCTGACAACAGCCTCCCACACATGACAACAACCTCCCCACACATGACAACAACCTCCCCACACATGTTAACAACCTCCCCACACATGACAACAACCTCCCCACACATGACAACAACCCCCCCACACCTAACAACCTCCCCACACATGATAACAACCTCCCCACACATGACAACAACCTCCCCACACATGACAAAAACCTCCCCACACATGACAACTCTCCCCCACACCTGACAACAATCAGCTCATGCGCGCATGACGTAAGAAGCGATCACGCGGACAGAGCCGCGCCATAGAAATGACAGACACACCCACGTGCTCTATAGAGGAAATCTCGTTTAAAAAACCACAGAGTGTGTTTTTATTGTAACCACGTGACTAGGCTGATGGAGAAATTAAAAGGATAGGATGTAAACAATACACAGATATAAAGACTCTAAACAGATTAGATGTATCTTACTAGAATTGAGTAGCCTACATGTTTGACGCCACGAATTGGGTAGTGATTGGTTTATAACTTTGTTATATTTTATTTCACGAGGAAGAGGTGTTGTATTGTAAAATGTTGGACGATCCTGTTTATAATTTTCATTATCCTTGTTTTCCCAGAATGTCTGCTATCAAAAATAGCTTGATGAGAATAGATGTGGGTTAAATGCCATCCATTTGTGTTGATGTGTCTTACTGGTGTTGGTGTGTCTCACATGTGTTGGTGTGTCTCACGTGTTGGTGTGTCTCACGTGTTGGTGTGTCTCACGTGTTGGTGTGTCTCACGTGTTGGTGTGTCTCACTGGTGTTGGTGTGTCTCACGTGTTGGTGTGTCTCACTGGTGTTGGTGTGTCTCACGTGTGTTGGCGTGTCTCACGTGTGTTGGTGTGTCTCACGTGTTGGTGTGTCTCACGTGTTGGTGTGTCTCACGTGTTGGTGTGTCTCACTGGTGTTGGTGTGTCTCACGTGTGTTGGTGTGTCTCACGTGTTGGTGTGTCTCACGTGTTGGTGTGTCTCACGTGTTGGTGTGTCTCACTGGTGTTGGTGTGTCTCACGTGTTGGTGTGTCTCACTGGTGTTGGTGTGTCTCACGTGTGTTGGTGTGTCTCACGTGTGTTGGTGTGTCTCACGTGTTGGTGTGTCTCACGTGTTGGTGTGTCTCACGTGTGTTGTTGTGTCTCACTGGTGTTGGTGTGTCTCACGTGTGTTGGTGTGTCTCACGTGTGTTGGTCTGTCTGTGATAAGAGGCGGGTTTAATGGCCTACATTTGTGTTGGTGTGTCTCACGTGTTGGTGTGTCTCACGTGTGTTGTTGTGTCTCACTGGTGTTAGTGTGTCTCACGTGTGTTGGTGTGTCTCACGTGTGTTGGTGTGTCTCACTGGTGTTGGTGTGTCTCACGTGTGTTGGTGTGTCTCACGTGTTGGTGTGTCTCACGTGTTGGTGTGTCTGTGATAAGAGG